CAGACACTCATCTAGTGAAATTGCAGTGCCAGCAAAACAAGGTTCTCCACACCACTGGCAATCTTCCAAGGCGCACACCGGTCTGTGATTTGCACATGACATTTGAAATCCCATATGTATATGACTACATAACAAAATTATGCAGGAAACAAGCAGAAGTCATACAAAATCATGAAAATGAGAATGTTTGCATCATTGGACAAGGCGAAGCCCAACACAGAAAGTATAAGAGGCTTAAATTTGGTGGTCAGGCATATGACCGTTCAAGTGACTAGACTGCCGTGATAGCAAATACTACTAGAAATATGGCATAATCTGCTGTACTGAGCCTGGATTGACAGAGGCCTTGTACATATTGTACACAGAAATAAGAATTAAGATTGAATTAGTAAATATATGTAAATACTGACAATGGACTTACTAATACGGACTATGACTTGACAAATGACAGACCCGACCTCTCGTCAGAGAGGGCACCCCAAATGGACAGGACAGTAACCTTCACATGGGGGGGGGGAATCTGGTCATGAGCCGCAGCAGGGGCTCAACACCAAGACAGACAGACTGACCGTCAGTCACAATGTGACTTCGACTTTGATGACTACATAACAAAATTATGCAGGCAATAAGCAGAATTCATAGAAAATCATGATGATGAGAATGTTTGCATCATCAGACAAGGCAAAGCCCGACACAGAAAGTATAAGAGGCTTAAACTTGGCGGCGGCCAGGCATACGATCGTTCAATTGAGTAGACTGTCGTGGTATCAAATACTACTATAAATAGGGCATAATCTGCTGTACAGAGCCTGGATTGACAGAGGCCTTGTATATATATTACATAGAAATAAAGAATTAAGATTAAATTTGTAAATATCTGTAAATACTGACAATGGACATACTAATACGGACTATGACTGACAAATGACAGACCCGACCTCTCGCCAGAGAGGGCGCCCCAAATGGACAGGGCAGTAACTTTCATGTAAGGAAAAAACAAAAAGAAAAAATCTGGTCATGAGCCCCAGCTGGAGCTGAACACCAAGACAGACAGACTGACTGACCGTCAGTCGCATCGTGACTTTGACTTTGATTACGAGGTAGTCTTGAGACGGCAGTGAGAAGAGCAGAGGCTGGTGTGAGATGGCCACCAGCCTGGGAGTTAGTCAGCCAGAGCAAGGAGTTAGTTGTGTGACAGTCACTGGCCAGTATGGACGAAAACACGGAAGTTAAGGAAGCTATAGCACTGGAAGCCATTACCAGGCAACAGCTGGTGAAGTAACAGCAGACTGAGAAGATTTTATTTTTGCTGTAGTAAACTGCAGATTGTGTGAATTGGCGTTAGCATTGTAGTTATTTTTAGTTACATTCTGTAAAAGTTCAATAAATCCAATTACCAATCCAAACCCCATTTACAGTCAATCATACACGTGAAACTACTTTAATAAACTGCTGCATGTACTGTTGTTGGCTCTATGAAATTAAATCGGAGCAGTAGCGGAGAGTTTTGTGTGTCAGCTGTGTGAGAATGCCTGCAACCACACAATTAACTTATTCAATTGAAATGTAGCAAAACCAGATAACAAATAAGTTGAAACAATGAGATAATCTCAGTAGAAGCATTAGAATTAAAGTGTCAGCACAAAGCTGCATAAAGAAGGACAAATATAATTTAAACTTGTCTTTACACCATATTATAGTCACAATTTAAGGGTGTGACTACTGAGAAGGTATGGACTGCTGAAAGGATTTACTGACCACTTACACACACCACTCAGAACGACAAGTAATTCCAGTGCTATCACTAATCTCCATGCTTTGCAAATCTCCACAGCTTCCCAACGCGGCAGCCGGAGTTCGATCCCAGGTCTGGTCAAGTGGGGTTTGTGGTGGACAAAGTGGCACTGGGACAGGTTTTCTCCGAGTACTTCGGTTCCCCTGCCAATCTTCATTCCATCAATTGCTCCACAATCACCCTCACCTATCATTTGGGGCTGGTACAATAGGCCAGAAGTGGCCTTAGTACAAGGGACTTAGTCCCACCCCACTTCCTTACTTATTTACTTACTTACTTACTTACTTACTCATGGAGCTGAGCCCTTCTGGAGGAGCCACCAATTCTGCAGCTACTCAAGAATTTCCCAGCATTTTATGGAACCCGAAGGTTCATTACCGTGTTCACAAGAGCCCTCCACTGGCCCCTATCCTGAGCCAGAGCTATCCAATCCATACCATCCCATCCTATCTCTCTAATAACCATTCTAATATTGTCCACCCACCTACGCCTTGGTCTTCCCTGTGTTCTCTTTCCTTCTGGCTTTCCCACCAATATCCTATACACATTCCTCGTCTCCCCCATTCATGCTACTTGTACTCTTCTCCAAGTATAATTAGAATGATCAAGTCAAGTCCCACCCCACTAGCAATAAAAAAAATACACCACATTCTAACATAAATCATAATGACAGTGAAACTGAAAACTTCCTGGAAATACCTATGAAACCCTTCTCACCTAGAGAAGTAGTACAAGAAATTAAGAACATAAATCCGCACAAAGGACCCAGTTATGACCTTACCACAGGAGAAATACTCAACTAAGAAAAGCAATAGTATTGCTAACAACCATCTATAAGAGCATGCTCAGAATATCCTACTACCCAATTATGTGAAAATTTGCCCAGATCATGATGATAACTAAACCTGGGATACCAGCCAATGAAGTAAATTCTTATCAACCAATTAGTTTGCTGCCGGTCACATCGAAGCTGTTTGAAAAGTTACTATTGAAGAAAATTAGAAACGACCTAGACCTGCCAACTGTTATTCCCGATTACCAATTTGGATTCAGGGAAAGGCACTCCACAATACAAAAACATACATAGAATCATAAACATGACTGCAACAACCCTCAAAGGAAAACACATTGTGTACAGCAGTTTTCCTTGATGTAGCTCTGGTGTTTGTCAAGGTCTGGCACGCTGGACTACAATATAAAATGAAAAATACATTCTCCAGCACATGCTACCCACTTTTAAAGTCATACATCACTGAAAGACATTTTCAAATAAAATAATTCATATTCAGGTTGCTACCAGGTGAAGTCAGGTGTACCACAAGGAAGTATGATGGGGCCTCTACTATACTTAAATCTATACTGCAGACTTGCCCTCAACAAACAACACTAGAATTGCAACCTTCGCAGTTGACACAGCCCTACTAGCAGCAAATAATGATCCAGTAGTAGCATCGCAACATCTTCAACATCACTTAAACCTCCTCCAGCAACTTAGTTTTAGTCTTGGGCAGTACACAACAGTATTCCAGGCATCAATGCACATGCAGTCGAGAATCTAGATAGGAACTATAAGAATAAGAACATCTATATTCTACCAGACGGGGGACAAAAGTTGCTCGCGTCCGTGACATTCTTTAAGTCATATGTGTCCCCTGGGTAGTGCAAAATGAGCAACAAACCTGGCAAAGCTTCCCAAGAGAAAAGTGCAAACTTCTTCAAGATGCAACAAAGCAAGAACTTGAGTGCTCTCTATTGGGAAGCAAGAAGCAAAATGGGTTAAATGATCCCAAATGCAGTCACTGGAAACTAACCAACCAACCAACCAACCAACCAACCAACCAATATTCTATCAGACAGTCAAACTGCAATCAAAGCACTTGGCAAACACCAAATCACCTCAAAACTGGTCTAGGACTGCCACCAATCCCTCATACAACTGGCCAGAAATAACAGAGTACAACTGATATGGGTGCCAGGTCATGAGGATATTGGTGGTAATGAAATGGCAGATCAACTGGCAAGAAGAGGATCTGAACATCCATTCATAGGGCCTGAACCAGCTTGTGGCATCTCAATTGGAGTTGCCAAGAAAGCGGTCAGGGACTGGATGAACAGAAATCACATAAAACAATGGGAATCCAAAATTGGATTCAAACAGGCAAAGGGACTTATATCGGGGTCCTTCACCGGAATAATGAAAGATCTGTTGGAATTAAACACAGACCAATTAAGATGGATAGCAGGACTATTTACACGACACTGTCACCTAAAACGATATCTTTTAAAACTAGGATTGACAGACAATCCCACTTGTGAAAGGTGCCTGAAGGACAACAAATCAGCCACACATATTCTATGCAATTGTGAGTCCATGGCCCATTTAAGATTTTGCCACTTGGGTCAGTTCTTTATGGAACCAAGTGAATACTATGACGCCCCCATAAATAAAGTCCTACATTTCATTCAAAGTGTAGGATTAATAAGGAGTTAATTAAAGGGGAAGCACAATAGATCATTGTTGTTCGTGGTGCAGGGGCCGGATTGTGGCCCACCCCTCACACACACACATTCATACATACATACACACATCTAGATTAGGCAGCATTGAGTGATAGAATGACTGATGACTGAGAAGGATTTGGAACAAGGTGGATGTGGCATAACTGAAGTACTCTCTCAGCATTTATATGGAGGGGCTGAGAAAAACCTCTGCCAGGATATCCAGTGTCCCAACTGAGATTCAAACCAAGCATCTCCTGACTAAAAGCCTAGTGTTACTGCCAAACCATTGAGCTACTTCTGTATGGAATGCAGTGGGTTCAAAATCAAGTTTTTGTACATAAAATGAATTGCCCAAGAGGTAAAATCACATTATCATGTGTAAACAGCCTTGTAAAAACACTGCTAGAAATTAAAATGTAAAATTACAAGATGTATATAATACTGAATAACATGGGACACAAGTTTTCACATTTAGCAGAGCTAATAGCAAAATTTTAGATAAAAAAAAAAAGAACACAAGATTATGTGCAACAAATATATTCAATAATGAAACAAAAGATTAAAAGAAACGACTGTTAACAGACAAATCATGCACCTGTCATTAATTTAGAATTGTGCACTGAGACATGTTAACTTAAGATGACGGAACAAACATATTTAAAATTCATTATCAAATAAGCTTACAGTAATCTTGAATCCTTACTTTGACATACATATCCTGAAATAAGAGATACTGTTATTCTACAAACCATGTTTTGCATGGAAGTATGAAAGTGTCTTAGAGTGACTTCTTACATTTGCCAGACCAGTAGAAATTTAAGAATCTTAAGAATTCAAATAAAATTTACAAAATAAAACCAAGGCAAGAGGAAATCAGTACTTCCAACACACATGTATTATTGTTTGCCATCTACAGGGAGATTACATAAGAGTCTGCTACAAATCACTTGGCCAGTCTAGCAGGAGAGATATGTGCCCCTCACATCAACTGTACTGTGCATATTTAAGCTAATGACATAGCTGACAACCTAACAGCCTTCATACATTGCAATTTATCTTCAGTATCTACCAAATAAGTCACTGAACAGCTATCATAAAGGAAAATTATGCGTTAAGTGCCCACCCACCATATTCCCAAGTCCCTGATACTGAGTTAAACATTCAGTCTTGTTGCTTCTTGGGACATAATGCTTCACAGGAGTCACACACTGAAAGGTATTCATGTATGATACCCATATGAAAAACAAGATTCTGGAATACAATTCTGCTGGGTTTTCAAGTTTCCAATTGACTCCATATCTGTAGAGGAACTGCAATGTTTGAATTGACCCTTTCATGGAAGTGCCAGGAATGTACACATGAGAACATAAAATACGTCCAACATCTGTTGTGAACTGGGTGGGTTTTGTTGACCTACAGGCTTGCTGATTGAGCTTTAAGTGAGAATATGGATGATGAAATTGATGCAAGAAGTACGTGTCCCTCCTGCCAGTCTGAGTAAAAGATATTCAGCAAGCTCTCAGATAATCTCCTTGCATACATCTGTATTGTCAGATTACACATATAAATTTACTCTACCATATTAATAACTTATGAAAAACACAATAAAATTAGAGAATACCTTCAAACTACTGCAACAAGTGCACTTCTGAAGTTCTTGTTCTGAACTGGAGTAATGGATACAATAGCTCAATTTCTTGCATCATAACAAAACCTTAAATAAAGCACTAATATAAGACAATATAAGAAGTCCTGGGAAAAACTAAATGCCTGCTTTCCTTTCCCTGTAACTTGAGTACTTGATATGAAAAGCACAAAAAAACTTCAGCATGCTGAGGCATTCAAGTGATGTTATTACCTCAACAATTTGAAGGAGCCGGGATAGTGCAGTCAGTATAGCGACTGGCTACAGACTAGACAACTGAGGGGACCGAGTTCGAGTCCCAGTAGTGTCAAGAATTTCCTCTCCTCCAAGTCATCCAGACCAGCTCTGGGGCTCACCCAACCTCCTATACAGTGAGTACTGGGGGGCTCTTTCCCCAGGGGTAAAGTGGCCGAAGCATGAAGCTGACCACTCACCTCCAACTAGTTCTAAGGTTAAGAAAATGTGGGTCTATACATTAACGCTCACATATGCCATCACGGCACAGTGCTTAATTAGTAGGGACCGGATTTTAATGCAAATGCATATTTCTTTCTTGCAACCAGAACATATGCTTGTTTGGATATATGTATGAATTACTCCATTTCTTAAATTTTGGACATGGTTTGATGGTGCATATAAATGCATATTTTGCCTGTTTTATGAATAAGCATCATATTTTCGAAGATCTCTATTTATACTGCATATTTCCTTTTTAAAATGTTTATCACATATATTTTTTAATTTTATGTTCAAATTTTCAATCATGGGCGTGTGTATACAATTTTTCTTTTCCGTATTAGAATATGCTGCATATTTGACTCAACATTTCATCATGATTCATGTTTCTGATGCAATACCCAGGACAGGACTTCACCGATCCCTCTACTTGTAACTTGCTTCATCCATGTACCATCAAAGGGGCCGCAAAGAGATTAGTCGGAAGAATTCACATGTAACCGCTCTCAACGTAATACTATTCAACCGATAAGGGACTTGACTTATTTATTTCCGAAGTCCCTATGAGGTTCATTACACTTTTTCATTTGAAGCTGGGGGCCATTGACATTAGTGGTGACTACTCTGTAGTTAAGTTTGTTTAGCTTTCTGTAGTCATGCCAAAAGCGAAAGTAAGTCAGAAAACTAAATTACAGCTATATCAGCGGGAGTTCGAAGGAGAGATGATAAGTATGGATAACAAAATTCTTTATTGCCAAGCGTGTGAGAAAACAGTTGTTTGTGAAAAACGCTTTCAAGTGCTTCAGCATTTGAACACTAATATACACAATGAGAATATTTAAATGAAATCCACGAAAAGTGCTCCTGTTCAAAAATTGCTTAGTCAATTTTCTAATAATAGTTTTTCACAGTTTTCCTTTGATTTATGCGAAGCCTTTTTAGTGGCAGATATTCCACTGTGGAAACTAACCAGTCCTACTCTGAGAAACTTCATAGAGAAAGTGCAAAGTGCCAGATGAATCTACTGTGCGCAAAAATTATGTGAAGCGGTGTTACAATCTTACAATTGAAAGCATTAGAGATAATATTCAAGATAATTTTGTGGGTATCAATCGACGAAACACAAGATTGTGAGGGACGGTTTATTGCAAATTCTATAGTTGGATCCCTTAATAAGAATGAACAATCTACCCCATATCTTCTTGCGGTAGAGCAATTTGAAACCACAAATAGCTCTGCAGTTTCCAAATTTTTTATTAATTCCATGAATTTAATATGGCCGAATGGCATTCAGTATGAGCACGTATTGCTCTTTGTGACTGATGCCGCAAGTTATATGATGAAAGCTGGTACTCCTCTTAAAGTTAAATTTCCAAATATGACACATTTGACTTGCCTTGCCAATGGGTTTGACACATTTGACTTGCCTTGCCAATGGGTTGCACCGTGTTGCAGAAACAACTTGTGCAAATTTTCCGCTTGTTAATAAGTTGGTATCTTCTGAGAGGAAGGTATTTGTTAAACTGCCATACAAAAAAGAAGCCTTTATAAAGCAGTAGCACCGAGCGTTCCACTTCTGCCAGAACCAATTTTAACGTANCCTCTTAAAGTTAAATTTCCAAATATGACACATTTGACTTGCCTTGCCAATGGGTTTGACACATTTGACTTGCCTTGCCAATGGGTTGCACCGTGTTGCAGAAACAACTTGTGCAAATTTTCCGCTTGTTAATAAGTTGGTATCTTCTGAGAGGAAGGTATTTGTTAAACTGCCATACAAAAAAGAAGCCTTTATAAAGCAGTAGCACCGAGCGTTCCACTTCTGCCAGAACCAATTTTAACGTACTGGGGCACGTGGCTGTGTGCAGCGAGTTATTATACCGAATATTTAGAAACAGTTAGGAATGTCGTGAGTACATTTGATTTCAAAAGTGCAGCATCAATTCAAATTGCCCAAGATGTACTAAAAAATGCAGAACTAGAAACTAATCTTTCCTATATATCTACTCATGTCTCTCATCTTCCATCCGCAATTTCCTCACTGGAGGCAAGCAATAGCAATACTACTTTGTATCAGTCATTAACTCTCTGACTGGCGCGAAGGGTATTTAAATCCCACCCCTGTCCTGGCAGGCCCTTTAAACCTTATGTCGCTAAAATGCATGTAGTTACCTTTTCCTAAACAACTTCAACACAAATTGGTTTTTAAAAACGAAATTTTCAGGAACTAATTAAAATCCAATATTTTATGCAATAAATGCCTTTCCATACCTCTTTATTAGTTTTTCTTCGTGTGATAAAAATTGAAACATGAAAGTGTGCAGAGAGCCACACCACAGCCTGCACACATGATATTTGTTTCTTTTCTAATCTTGTGCTTAGCACTCACGCGACACTTTCTCAGGGCACCATTCTTCTTGTTACTGGGAGGAACATGGACCATTTTGTGAATTTTCAAGCCACCCTCCATACGATTTACTGGCTCTTTCACTGGTAGTCTTTTCAAGGTCGAGGGCGGAGGCGTGACTGCACTCGAGTCTGACGCAATATATTCGTCATCCACTTCATTCCTCGACTCTT